CCCTGGACCAGTGACTGTGGCCTCCCTCACCCTGGACCAGTGACTGGCCTCTACCCTCACCCTGGACCAGTGACTGTGGCCTCTCCCCTCACCCTGGACCAGTGACTGTAGCCTCTCCCTCACCCTGGACCAGTGACTGTGGCCTCTCCCCTCACACTGGACCAGTGACTGTAGCCTCTCCCTCACCCTGGACCAGTGACTGTGGCTCCCCTCACCCTGGACCAGTGACTGTGGCCCCTCCCTCACCCTGGACCAGTGACTGTGGCCTCTCCCTCACCCTGGACCAGTGACTGTAGCCTCTCCCTCACCCTGGACCAGTGACTGTGGCCTCTCCACTCACCCTGGACCAGTGATTGTGGCCTCCCCTCACCCTGGACCAGCTGTGGCCTCCCTCACCCTGGACCAGTGACTGTAGCCTCTCTCACCCTGGACCAGTGACTGTGGCCTCTCCCTCACCTGGACCAGTGATTGTGGCCTCTCCTCACCTGGACCAGTGACTGTGGCCTCCCTCACCTGGACCAGTGACTGTAGCCTCTCCCCTCACCCTGGACCAGTGACATGGCCTCTCCCCTCACCCTGGACCAATGACTGTGGCCTCTCCCCTCACTCTGGACCAGTAACTGTGCCTCTCCCTCACCCCGGTCCAGTGACTGTGGCCTCTCCCCTCACCCTGGACCAGTGACTGTAGCCTCTCCCCTCACCCTGGTCCAGTGACTGTGCCTCTCCCTCACCCTGGACCAGTGACTGTGGCCTCTCCCCTAACCCTGGACCAGTAACTGTGCCTCTCCCCTCACCCCGGTCCAGTGACTGTGCCTCTCCCTCACCCCGGTCCAGTGACTGTGGCCTCTCCCCACCCTGGACCAGTGACTGTGGCCTCCCCTCACCCTGGACCAGTGACTGGCCTCTCCCCTCACCCTGGACCAGTAACTGTGCCTCTCCCCTCACCCCGGTCCAGTGACTGCCTCTCCCCTCACCCCGGTCCAGTGACTGGCCTCTCCCCTCACCCCTGGACCAGTGACATGCCTCTCCCCTCACCCCGGTCCAGTGACTGTGGCCTCTCCCCTTCACTGGACCAGTGACTGGCCTCCCCTCACCCTGGACCAGTGACTGTGCCTCCCTCACCCCGGTCCAGTGACTGTGGCCTCTCCCTTCACCCTGGACCAGTGACTGTGCCTCCTCACCTGGACCAGTGACTGGCCTCTCCCCTCACCCTGGTCCAGTGACTGTGGCCTCTCCCTCACCCTGGTCCAGTGACTGTGGCCTCTCCTCACCCTGGACCAGTGACTGGCCTCTCCCTCACCCTGGACCAGTAACTGTGCCTCTCCCCTCACCCCTGGACCAGTGACTGTGGCCTCTCCTCTACCCTGACCAGTGACTGTGCCTCGGGGCCTCCCCTCACCCCTGGTCCAGTGATGTCTCTTCCCCTGACCAGTGACTGTAGCTCCCTCACCCTGACCAGTGACTGTGGCCTCTCCTCACCCTGGACCAGTGACTGTGGCCTCTCCTCACCCTGGTCCAGTGACTGTGGCCTCCTCACCCTGACCAGTGACCGTGGCCTCCTCACCCTGGACCAGTAACTGTGCCTCTCACCCTGACCAGTGACTGGCCTCTCCCCACCCTGGACCAGTACTGTGCGCCCCCTCACCCTGACCAGTGACTGTAGCCTCTTCCCTCACCCTGACCAGTGACTGTGGCCTCCCACCCTGACCAGTGATGTGGCCTCCCCCTCACCCTGGACCAGTAACTGTGGCCTCCCCTCACCCTGGACCAGTGACTGTGCCTCTCCCTCACCCTGGACCAGTGATGTGGCCTCTCCCCTCACCCTGACCAGTTAGCCTCCACCGGACGCCTCACCCTGACCAGTAACTGTGCCTCCCCCTCACCCCGGTCCAGTGACTGTGGCTCTCCCCTCACCCTGGACCAGTAACTGTGCCTCCCCTCACCCTTGACCAGTAACTGTGCCTCTCCCTCACCCTGGTCCAGTAACTGTGCCTCTCCCCTCACCCCGGTCCAGTGACTGTTAAAACTGGTCCACTTTACCTCTGTTCTCTACCTAAATGACTCTAAGTTTCACCCCACATCGACCCGCCAGTGTTCAGACAACTTGGGTCAAACACATTGAAACCTGAAGCCAAATGTGTGACTCCATTATACGGTTTTATTGTTGTTGTTGTTGCTGTTGTTGTTGTTATTGTTGTTGTTGTTATTACTGTTTTTGTTACTCTTGTTTTTATTATTGTTTTTGTTTATGTTGTTGTTGTGTATGTAACAGTTTCAGGGAGATACAGATGACAGGATGACTGTGTGGACCTCTAATGGCTCTCGTGTTAGCAAGGTCACTAAGGGGTAGTTAAGAGGCTGTCTAGTCATGTGGATCGAGCGAGGACAGGTTGAGCGAGGACAGGTTGAACGAGGACAGGTTGAGCGAGGACAGGTTGAGCGAGGACAGGTTGAGCGAGGACAGGTGGAGCGAGGACAGGTGGAGCGGAGGACAGGTTGAGCGGAGGACAGGTTGAGCGAGACAGGTTGAGCGAGACAGGTTGAGCGAGGACAGGTTGAGCGAGGACAGGTTGAGCGAGGACAGGTTGAGCGAGGACAGGTTGAGCGAGGACAGGTTGAGCGAGGACAGGAGCGAGGACAGGTTGAGTGAGGACAGGTTGAGCGAGGACAGGTTGAGCGGAGACAGGGAGCGAGGACAGGTTGAACGGAGGACAGGTTGAGCGAGGACAGGTTGAGCGAGGACAGGTTGAGGAGGACAGGTGAGCGAGGACAGGTGGAGCGAGGACAGGTTGAGCGAGGACAGGTGGAGCGAGGACAGGTGGAGCGAGGACAGGTGGAGGAGGACAAGGTGGAGCGAGGACAGGGAGCGAGGACAGGTGAGCGAGGACAGGTTGAGCGAGGACAGTTGAACGAGGACAGGTTGAGTGAGGACAGGTTGAGCGAGGACAGGAGCGGAGGACAGGTGGAGCGAGGACAGGTGGAGCGAGGCAGTTGAGCGAGGACAGGTGAGGACAGGTGGAGCGAGGACAGGTGGAACGAGGACAGTTATTCTCCTCTAGTCTCTGGCTGGTAGACTACTAATACTGCTTAACCGGATAGTAATTGGGTAGTCTCCTTAGTGGAGCATGGTAACCGCTCCGCCACCTACTAAAGCAGTTTTGGGTTACATGAAGATTAGGCACCTCCGGTTAGGTTAGGTTTAGTTCTAGTTAGGTTTGGTTGGGCCAGGCAGGTCAGGTAGAGGTCAGGTTAGTTCTAGTTAGGCTAGGTTTGGTAGGGTCACGAAGTAGGGTCAGTCAGGTCAGGTCAAGCAGGGTTGTTAGGAAGGGTTAGGTTAGGTTAGGTCAGGTCAGGTCAGGTCGTAAGGTTAGGTTAGTTAGGTCAGGGTTAGGTTAGGTTAGGTCAGGTCAGGTCAGGTCAGGTCAAGTTAGGTTAGGTTAGGTCAAGTTAGGTTAGATTAGGCTAGGTTAGGCTTCATTAGGTTTCCTTAGACGAGCAATAGTGTGTAATCATCAGGTGAAATAAGCGAGGCTGCCTAATCATCATCAGATCTAATGACTGTTTCTACACAACCATGATCCCTCGTTAACTATTATTTTAACTCATAGTTTAAGTGAACCCCTTAATTGTGTCCTCAAGGCTCCAGGTGAAGGGAAGGTGTGAATTACGGCAGTCAGTCAGTCAGTCAGTCAGTCATTCAGTCAGTCAGTCAGTCAGTCAGTCATTAAGTCATTCAGTCAGTCATTAAGTCATTCAGTCAGTCAGTCAGTCAGTCAGTCATATTGTCAGTCAGTCAGTCAGTCAGTCATTAAGTCATTCAGTCAGTCAGTCAGTCATTGTCATGGTCATTGTCTAGTCAGTCAGTCAGTTTAAGTCAGTCAGTCAGTCACTAAGTCAATGAGTCAGACAGTCAATCTAATTCGTGTATCATTAGTTAAGAGTAATTCTAAACGGCTGAGCCTTTGAGAATCTTGTGTTGGTGTCCTTGATGAAGTGAGTCAGTGAGATGCATTTTCCCAGTACCACTTACGGAAAAAAAACTTAACTTACCATTTTTTCCGAGAATCTGATCCAAGAAGAGAGAGAGAGAGAGAGAGAGAGAGAGAGAGAGAGAGAGAGAATATGAGAGATAGAGTTAGAGAACGAGAGAGAGAGAGAGAGAGAGAGAGAGGAGAGGAGAGAGAGAAGAAGAGAGAGATAGAGAGAGACTAGAAAGGAAGAGTGAGATGGAATATGAGAGCGAAGAAGAGAGAGAAAAAGAATGGCAGAATTAAAGAGAGATAATGAGAGAGAGAGAGAGAGAGAGAGAGAGAGAGAGAGAGAGAGAGAGAGAGAGAGAGTCACCACCATCATCGATCTAACATAAACATGTACAGTTATGACCATAAATTCCTGAACACTTGGTGGTGTCTATCTGGCATCCACTTGTGGCTGAGGAAGGTGACTGGTTGATTGCTGGTGAAAGCTGTCTTGTTTTGGTTAGGTTGTGGTTAAGGTAGAGATTAGGTTAGGTTGGTTAGGTTAGGTTGGCTTGGTTAGGTTAGTTAGGTTTGGTTAGGTTAGGTTAGATTAGGTTAGTTGGGTTAGGTTTGGCTTTGGTTAGGTTAGGTTAGGTTAGGTTAGGGTTAGGTTAGGTTAGGTTTGGTTTGGTTAGGGTGTTTAAGCGGAGGTTCCTAAATTTCATGTGGACCGAATAATTACAACTCGCTCGTGAACCTTGAAGAATCTATCAAAAGTCTTAGTTAAGGAGTCAGTCAGAGAAGTTCTCGCGTCCACCCTTTTTCCTCCCTCCCACTTCTCCACCTTCCTACCTATTTCCACTACCCATTTCCTCCCACGTCTTCCAACCTCTTCCTTGCCCACCCATTTCCTTCCCTCCTCCTTCCCCTCCCAACCTCATTCTTCCCCCACCCATTATCCTCCTCCTACACCTCCTTCCTACCCTCCTCCACCTCCCTCCACATCCCCCTTTCTACCTCCTCCCTCCACCTCCCACCCTCCACCTTCCCCCCTTCCTACCTCCTCCCCTCCACATCCCTTCCTACCCTCCTCCTCCACCTCCCCTTCCTACCCTCCACCTCCCCCTTCCTATCTCCCTCCACCTCCCTCCTACCTCCCTCCACCTCCTTCTCACTCCCTCCTCCACCTCCCCCTTCCTACCCTCCTCCACCTCCTTCCTCACCTCCTCCTCTACCTCCCCCTCCACCTCTTCCCCCCCTGCCTCACTGGTAATGTCAGGTCTGTTTGTTTACCATCTGTGGATTTTAGTTATCAGGAACACCTCCGTCAGTGACCATAGCCCACCATACTGGCGAGCGTTCGTCTGGCGTAGCTGTCGTAATTTGTTCCTGGCGGTGAACCTGTAGTGAGGTGACGGGGTAGTGATGTGTGTATGTTTGTATGACTGTCTGTAAAGTATATACTGTGACTGTATGTTTGTTATGACAGTTTGTATGACATGATAATTATGTGCATGATTGTTTGTTTGTATGACTGTGTATGAGTGTATATGTGTATGACCATGTAAGTTTAATACTGTGTACGTGTATAACAGGTGTATGATAATGTACGATTCAGTGTCCAATCACAGCTCTTGTCTCTGCTGCATCGCGTTTTGATTGGTTAATGAAGTAACGATTTTGACTCAACAGTGTGTGTGTGTGTGTGTGTGTGTGTGTGTGTGTGTGTGTGTGTGTGTGTGTGTGTGTGTGTGTGTGTGTGTATTTCCTGTATGCTCGTGTATGTGTGCACCTTACAGTGTATGCCGATGCCTTAAATACAAGAGTGCGGTGGCTGAGTGGACACAGCGCTCAACTCCTATTCTTGATGTCGCTCGTTCGCTCCCAGGGCACCCCTAACTCACCCAGCTGTGAATTAGTACCTACCTTTACAGATGGTGAGGAATAAAGGCTGTCCATTGCAGTGCCAACCATACTACCTCCTGGTATACCTGAAAAAGGCTTAGTCAACAGTATGCTGTATCCGCGCCGCCCTTAATAGGATGTCAGGCCTTCGGGATTCACTAGCACGTCTTATATGAGCGTGTAGGCGTGTGTCGCGTCTCATCATATATAACTATACCTTATGTGATCGTATATGCGTATGACGATGTATGAGTGGGTGGGGAGGGGTGGGGGTACCTGAATGTGCCTGTGCTGCTTAACTTGCCTGGTGGGGAGGGGAGGAGGGGGACAGGTCGTAGAATCGCCACCAGACCCAGGGAAGGAGGGAGGGGAGGGAAGGAGGGAGGGAGAGAAGGAGGGGGAGGAGAGAAGGAGGAAGGAGGGAGGGAAGGAGGGGGAGGAGGCGTGGGCGGCGTTGATGGTGAGAGATTATACACAGTGATGCTCAATTTATTTATTTATCTTTTTTATGTTCTTAAAGAGTGAGATAGACCAGGTGACCTCGTGTGTGTGTGTTGTGGTGTGTGAATGAGGCTCTTCATATCCTGAAGGATGTTGCAAAAAATTAATTCGAAAATGAAAAAACACACACACACAACTCTTTTCTCCTCCTCCTCCAGTCTTCCCTCGTTTCCTCCTTCCCTCCGCCTTCTTTCTTCCCTCCTCCCTTCCTTCTTCCCCCTCCTTCTTCCTTCGTTTCCTCCTCCTTCTTCCCTCTTCGTTTCTCCACCTTCTCTTCCTCCCCTTTCTTCCTTTTCCCCCCACCTCTTCCACCCCTCCCTCCCCCCACCTCGTCCCTTCTCCCTCCCTCTTCCCTCATCTCCCTCTCCTCCATCCCACCCTCCACCCCCCTCCGCCCCCTCCCCCTCAGTGAGCAGCGTCAGGGGTGTTGGTTGTGGTCGTCTTGTCATTTTGTTTTCTTGTCTCACCAACTGTAGGATCAGCCGGGTAGAGACACGGACCACACGTGAGAGAGAGAGAGAGAGAGAGAGAGAGAGAGAGAGAGAGAGAGAGAGGCCAGAACTACTCTAGGTTACAGTTACCAGGAGAAGAACCAGGTGGTGATGGTGGCCAGGTAGCGTAAAGCAACACCTGGTCCCTGGTAGGTGGCTGTGTGGCTGTGGTGGTGTGGGGTGTGGCATCGAGGGTGTGTAGTGTGGTATGTGGTGGTGGTAATGAGGCAGTGAGGTGGTAATATTCAAAATGGTGCGATTTAAATTCTGGTCGTGAATTTGACTCCACACACAAGATACACACACACACACACACACACACACACACACACACACACACACACACACACACACACAATAATGAGATGGTAAAGGCCAACTCTATAACATTACTATTTCACCCATAGCCAAACAGAAGACTAACCCAACCCACCCCTGGCTGTGTGCTCCTAAGAAACATTACCTTTTACTCAGAGATCTCTCACTTGAGGGTTTACGTGTGACCGGGGGCAGGTCTTCACAACACTCAAATACTGAAGAGATGAAGTGTTTGGGCCAGCTGGTACATCTACCGTCACTTGTAACATAACACTGAGATGAATTTGACTCACGTTGGGTTAGGTTAGATTCTAGGTTAGGTTAGGTGGGACAAAATGTATAAGTTTATAGTGATTGACAGGAATAATGAGTTCCTTTTCTTATGCCTGTCTCTCCCTTCTGTTTCATGAGAGAGAGAGAGATTTATTTCCCACCGTTCTGGCCTTCTTCAGCGTTGAGGCCCCCAGGTAGGTAGAGGGCACCTGGTGAACGTTCAGTACCCTGGATGGAGTCAAGGTGTAGGAGGTGGAGGGTGAGGTAGAAGACCAGGTGGAGGACGAGTTACAGGTGGAGGACGAGGTGGAATACATCAAGAGCGAAGACTCAGTTTTAGGACATAAATAACAGACGGAAAAACACAAACAGGACATCGCTCCAGGTGTCCAAAAGTCAAACCACGTCCTCCTTGACACCTGAGGAGTATATTTGTGCCAGAGTTGATTGACATACAAGGAGCAGGAAATAAGTTATATTCTTGGGGTCATTATTTGGAAACTGTGTCAAAGGGAGATGGTTCAACCCAGTGGACCGGTAATCAATAGGTGTCGTCCTTGGTCCAGTTTGTATCTACGGACCAAGTTCCACGTTAATCCACCGAGTAGAAGTTAAGTTAGAGCACGGACACCAAACACGGACGGACGAACGGATGGACAGTGGATATAACACCCCATAGCTTCACTCTGTAGATTCACCCCATAACTTCTCCCAACAGCTTCACACCATAGCTTCACCCTATAGCTTCACCCCATAGCTTCCTCAGCCCTTCACCCCGTGGCTTCACCCCGTGTACCCATAGCTACCTCAGCCCTTCACCCCAGCTTCAAACAGCTTCAACAACTTCTTAGCTTGGTCTCCCAGGAACAGCACAACGGCTCATTCCTTATCATTAGCGGCCCCGGAGTATTGTGGTCAAGTTGTACTCTTCTTTTTTCTCTCTCTCTCTCTCTCTCTCTCTCTCTCTCTCTCTACGGCAGAGTTCATACCCATCAAGGGATCCATTTGTCACTGTGTTACTACAAACCCGTTGCTAGGGAGAGGGAGATTGGTAGTGAGGGGAGAGAAACGTGAGGAGGAATGTAGAGGAAGGAGAGAGATGGTAGGGAGGAGGAGGAGGTAAGTGAAGAAGGTGGATAGGGAAGGAGGAAGAGGAGGAGAGAGGAGGAGAGAGGGAGATGAATAGATGGGTTGATAAATACAAAGATATTAATAGATGGGGAAGAGGGAGAGCAGGTGGGGAAGGAGAGGAGGAGGTAAGAGAGGAGGTGTGTGTGTGTGTGTGTGTGTGTGTGTGTGTGTGTGTGTGTGTGTGTAATCTTACCAGCAACATACTACACAGACACATACAATATACTAGAACACATACTACACAAGACACATACTACACAAGACACATACTACACAAGACACATGCTAAGACATACTGCACAAGACACATACACAGACACATACTACACAAGACACATGCTACACAAGACACATACTACACAAGACACATACTACACAAGACACATACTACACAAGACACATACTACACAAGACAAGACACACATGCTACACAAGACACATACTGAAGACACATACTACACAAGACACATACTACACAAGACACATACTACACACAAGACACATACTACACAAGACACATGCTACACAAGACACATGCACAAGACACATACCACAAGACACATACTACACAAGACACATACTACACAAGACACATACTACACAGACACATACTACACAAGACACATACTACACAAGACATATACTGAGACACTTGCTACAGAAGACACATACTACACAAGACACTTACTACAGAAGACACATACTACACAAGACACATACTACACAAGACACATACTACACAAGACACACATACTACACAAGACACATACTACACACACACATACTACACAAGACACATACTACACAAGACACTTACTACAGAAGACACATACTACACAAGACACATTACACAAGACAATAGCTCAGTTAAAAGACACATACTACACAAGACACATACTACACAAGACACATACTACACAAGACACATACTACACAAGACACATACTACACAAGACACATACTACAAAGACACTTACTACAGAAGACACATACTACACAAGACACCAGACACAAGACACATACTATACAAGACACTTACTACAGAAGACACATACTACACAAGACACATACTACACAAGACACATACTACACAAGACACATACCACACAAGACACATACCACAAGACACATACTACACAAGACACATACTACACAAGACACATACTACTATAAGACACTTACTACAGAAGACATACTACACAAGACATATACTACACAAGACACATACTACATAAGACACATACTACAAAGACACATACTACACAAGACAAGACACATATACACAAGACACATACTACATTAACATAAGACACATGCTAATAAAGACACATGCTACACAAGACACATACTACACAAGACACATACTACACAAGACAAGACACATACTACAAGACACATACTATACAATACAAGACACATGCTACACAAGACACACATCTACACAAGACACATACTACACAAGACAAGACACATGCTACACAAGACACATACTACACAAGACACATACTACACAAGACACATGCTACACAAGACACATACTACACAAGACACATACTACACAAGACAAGACACATACTACAAGACATATACACAATACACATACTACACAAGACACATGCTACACAAGACACATACTACACAAGACACATACTACAGAAGACACATACTACACAAGACAAGACACATACTACACAAGACACTTACTACAGAAGACACTTACTACACAAGACACATACTACACAAGACACATACTACACAAGACACATACTACACAAGACACATACTACACAAGACAAGACACTTACTACACAAGACACATATGCTACATAAGACAAGACACATGCTACACAAGACACATACTACACAAGACACATACATACACATACTACACAAGACAGATACATACTACAGAAGACACATACTACAAGACACTACACAAGACAAGACACTTACTACACAAGACACTACTACACAAGACACATACTACACAAGACAAGACACATACTACACAAGACATACTACACAAGACACCTTACGCAGACACATGCTAATAAGACACATATGCTACACAAGACACATACTACACAAGACAAGACACATGCTACACAAGACACATATACTACACAAGACACATACTACACAAGAACACACATGCTACACAAGACACATACTACACAAGACACTTACTACATAAGACAAGACACATGCTACAAGACACATGCTACACAAGACACATACTACACAAGACAGACACATGCTACTACAGATACACAGTACTAATAAATAAGACACATGCTACACAAGACACTTACTACAGAAGACACATTACACAAGACAATTACTACACAAGACACTTACTACACAACACATACACAAGACACATACCACAAGACACATACTACACAAGACACATACTACACAAGACACATACTACACAAGACACATGACTACACAAGACACATACTACACAATAAAGACACATACTACACAAGACACACATGCTACATACACACATGCTACACACACAAGACACATGCTACACAAGACACATACTACACAAGACACATACTACATAAGACAAGACATGCTACACAAGACACATGCACACAAGACACATGCTACACAAGACAAGACACATGCTACACAAGACACATATACTACACAAGACAAGACACAGGCTACACAAGACACATACTACACAAGACACATACTACACAAGACACATACTACATAAGACACATACTACACAAGACACATACTACACAAGACATACTACACAAACACATGCTACACAAGACAAGACACATACACAAGACACATACTACACAAGACACATACTACACAAGACAAGACATGCTATTAAGCTGACAACATGCTACACAAGACACATGCTACACAAGACACATGCTACACAAGACAAGACACACATGCTACACAAGACACATCACATACACAAGACACATGCTACACAAGACACATACTACACAAGACACATACTACACACACACACAAGACACATACTACACAAGCACCACTACAGAAGACACATACTACAGAAGACACTTACTACACAAAGACACTTACTACACAAGACACTTACTACACAAGACACTTACTACAGAAGACAATACTACAGAAGACACTTACTACACAAGACACTTACTACACAAGACACACACACACACACATACTACAGAAGACACTTACTACACAAGACACATGCTACACAACATTAATACTACACAAGACACCTCTACTACAGAAGACACTTACTACACAAGACACATACTACACAAGACACTTACTACAGAAGACACTTTTACTAATACATTACACATGCTACAGAAATAATTTCCTACACAGAAGACACTTACTTACAGAAACACTTTTTACTACACAAGACACTTACTACAGAAGACACTTACTCACAAGACACATACTACAAGACACTCCTACTACAGAAGACACTTACTACACAAGACACTTACTACAGAGACACTTACTACACAAGACAAGACACTTACTACAGAAGACACTTACTACACAAGACACTTACTACAGAAGACACTTACTACACAAGACACATTACTACAGAAGACACTTACTACACAAGACACATACTACACAACATTTGCTACACACAAAAGACACTTACTACAGAAAGACACTTACTACAGAAGACACTATACTACACAAGACAAGACACTTACTACAGAAGACACTTACTACACAAGACACATACTACACAAGACACATACTACACAAGACACTTACTACAGAAGACACTTACTACAGAGACACTTACTACACAAGACACTTACTACAGAGAGACACTTACTACTGAGACACATACTACACAAGACACTTACTACAGAGACCTTACTACTGAGACACTTACCAAAGACATGCTACTAGGACACATGCTACCTGAGACAGACACATGCTACTGAGACAAGGACACATGCTACACAGACACATGCTACTGAGACACACATGCTACTGAGACACATGCTGCAGAGACACATACTACACAGGACACACATGCTACTGAGACGCACTACAGGACATCTACACAGAGGACACATGCTACACAGGACAGGACACATGCTACTGGACACACATGCTACTGAGACACATACTGCACAAGACACTTACTGCAGAGACACTTGCTACAGAGACCTTACTACACAAGACCTTGCTACACAAGACCACATGCTACACACAGGACACATACTACTGAGAGACACATGCTACAAGACACATGCTACCTGAGACACATACTACACAGAGACACTTACTACAGAAACACTTACTACACCAAGACACTTACTACACAGACACTTACTACTGAGACACATGCTACTGAGACACATACTGAGACACACATGCTACACAAGACACTTACAGAAGACACTTACTACAAGACTCTCATACTACAAGACACTTACTAGAGAGAGACACATGCTACAGAAGACACTGCACACAGACACATACTGCAGAGACACTTACTACAGAGACACATGCTACACAGACACATACTACAGAAGACACTTACTACAGAGACCTTGCTGCACAAGAGCACTTGCTACAGAGATTGCTACAGACACATGCCTCACCAGGACAGGACACATGTGCAGGACACACTACTGGGACACATGCTACAGGACACATGCTGCTACAGGGGACAGGACACATGCTACGGACCTTACACAGGACACGTGCCTGCAGGACAGGACACGTGCTGCTGGGAGTGTAGAGGACCGCGTACTGCCTGGGACACTTGCTGCTGGGACTTGCCTGGGACACATGCTACTGGACACATGCTACAGGACTTTTGCTGCAGGAGGACGATGCCTGGGACTGCTTGCACAGGGACACATGTCTGGGGCTGCACGGGACATGTACTGGGACACATGCTGCTGGGACACATGCTGCACGGGACAGCATGCTGCACAGGACGCTACACGGGACACACATGCCTGCAGGACGGACACTTGCTACTGGGACACATGCTACTGGGACATGCACTTGCTACACACAAGGACACATGCCTGCACGCCACTGCACAGAGACCTTGCTGCACAAAGACACATGCCTGGAGACACACACTGCTACACTGAGACCTTGCTACAGAGACACTTGCTACTGGGACACATACTGCCTGAGGACAGGACACGTGCTGCAGAGACAACATGCTGCACCATGCTGACACACATGCTACTGGGACAGAGACACATGCTACTGGGGGACCACTTGCTGCTGAGACACGTGCTACTGGGGACAGGACACGTGCTGCTGGGACACATACTGCACAGGGACACATGCTACTGGGACACGTGCCTGCTGGACAGGACACATGCACTGCACAGGACACATATGCTACTGGGATAGGACTGGCACTGCTGGGACACTTGCTGCGGGACTGCACATGCTACTGGGACACATGCTACACAAGGGACAGGACACATGCTACTAGGACACTTGCTACACAGGACACATGCTACACAGGACATGCTGCTGCAGGACACATGCTACACATGACACATGCTACAGAGACACCTGTACGAGGATACATGCTACCTGAGACATATGACAGGACATGCCTGGGACCTTGCTAGAGACACATGCTACACAGGATGCTTACTACAGGACCTTGCTACTGAGACCTTGCTAAGGGACATAGCTATCTGGGACACATACTACACAGGACACTTACTACAGAAGACACATGCTGGAGACACATGCTACACAAGGACACTTACTACTGAGAGACCACATGCTACACAGACATGCTAAAACAAGACACTTACTATGAGACACTTGCTACAAGACACATACTACATGAGACATGCTAAACAAGGACACATGCTACACAAGACACTTACTACAGAGACACACGTACTACTGAGACACACTACTGGAGGACACATGCTGGACACATGCTACACAGGAGACACATGCTGCCTGGGACACACATGCTGAGACACATGTGCACAGACACTTGCTACTGGGACACATGCTACTGGGACACATGCTGCACAGGACACACTGCTGGGACATATGCTACATGAGACACACTACTGAGACACACATGCCTGGGACACAGCACACAGGACACATGCTACACAGGACACATGCCACACAGGACACATGCTACCTGGACACATGCTACTGGGACACTTCTACACAGGCATGCTACTGAGACCAGCACTACAGAGACCACACCATGCTACACAGGGACGCTGCAGGACGCATGCTACACAGGACACATGCTACACAAGGACACATGCTACACACCAGGACGCCTACAGAGGACACATGCTACTGAGACACTTTTCTGAGACACATGCTACACAGGACCATGCTACTGGACACATGCTACACAGGACACATGCTGCACACAGGACACATGCTACTGAGGACACATGCTGCACAGGGACACATGCTACTGGGACACATGCTGCACAGGATAAGGACACGTGCTACAGGACACATGCTGTGGAGGACACTTCTACAGGACACATCTACACAGGACCACATGCTACACAGGACACATGCTGCACTGAGACACATGCTACTGGGACAACACATGCTACTAGGACACACATACTGCAGGGTCTTGCTACACAAGACACATGCTACACAAGACACTTACTACAGAAGACACATACTACACAAGACACATACTACACAAGACACATACTACACAAGACACATACTACACAAGACACATGCTACACAAGACACATGCTACACAAGACACTTACTACAGAAGACACATACTACACAAGACACATACTAAACAAGACACATACTACACAAGATACATACTCTCTGTATATTACAAAATAGTAACTTAAACACAGAGACTTGCTTCGAGCTTAAAATTTATAAAGACGAATTGCACATATATGGTTTAAATAATATAATGGTTGCTCCTCGTGTAACGAGGATGGCCGGCCCAATGGCCACCAAGGCGTGAATTTGTTTAAGGTGTAGAAGCTGTCGCCAACACAACAACCACACCCTAAGTTAACGAGCTGCATGACCCAGTGTCAAGGAATAGTCCGAGAAGACCGGACAACTTGCCAACTCCACTGGCTAACCATTACCCCGGAACACTATCCGCAAATCGATTAACATCCAGGCCCACAATTACTGCTGGGTAGACAGAGGCTAATGGCGCAAAGAAACTTACCCATAGTTTCACCCTGCCCGGGGATCGAACCGGGGTCCACTGGCTTGCGAGGCGAGCATGTTGGCCGTTACACCACAGGTCGCCATAGTTTAAATAATATCCCCTCCCTCTCCCCCTTACCCCCTTCCCCTCTCCATCCTTCTCACCCCCTTCCATTCCCCCTCTCTCTCCTTCCCTTCCCTCCCCATCACCCTTCTTCCTTTCACCCCCCTCGTATCGCTGGTACAAGAGTGTTCCAATTGTCACGTATAGACACTTTTACGAAGGCTTGGCGCCGCCTTATATTGTCTCAGAAACACTTTTTATGGCTGTGTGGGGAGGCATATATGGTTGGATATGTGTGTGTGTGTCTCTTCCTCTCCCTTCTTTTCTCCCTCTCCTTCCCTCCCTGCTCATCCTTGATTCCTCTCTTCGTTCCTCCTTTTTGCTCTCTCCTTCACCGCCACCAAGAATATTAACACACGGGGTTGTCCATTCAGCCACAGATTCCTGGACCATGAAGGGCGCCTGGGTAGACTCGGGGTAGACTCGGGGTAGACTCCTGTATTGTGGCCTCAGATTGGAATTTTTGGCTGGTGAAAATTGAGGTGAGAGCAGCGAGGAGCATGGGGTGGGGTGGGGTGGGGGGTCCGTGTAGTAAAAGGTCCACCACGTTATATTTTCAACCTTATCTAGACGTGTGAGAAAGCATCTATTGGGTTTACTTAAGCTACGAGACATAGATGGCTGCTGCTCAAGGTTGTAATATGCTTTTAATTTTCTGCCTTGACTGGACGTGTGAGAATGCATGTAATTGATTCGTTTAAACTAAGACACAAATAAGGGTTCTCAAAGGTTTCTATTTTAGATTTTCTCCTTAAATAGAGATGTTGAGAATGTATCCAACACTTACATTATTTTAATACACAGATACTCGTATGGTTAAATGTTCGCCCTTAACTGCAAATGCTAGAACGTATTTAACGGATTCACTTAATCTAAACCACACATAAAGGATTCTCTCAGGCTCCTAGGTTGAATTTTTTCCTCCTAACTGGTGATGTAGGAACGAATTTACCCGGTTCACTTCCTCCCCCCGTTGGCCGTCGCTCCACTGGAAAATTGGAGACGTATGGACACATTGGACAGTGTTGTGGCGGCGTAGGTGTACCGGGCCAGTGGTACAGTACCGCCAGACCTGTATACACACACTGCCTGGTAACTGGGTCATAGTTGGAGCACCACCCTGGCCTAGAGCCAAGACGATGATGGCAGGCAGGCAAGCAAGCGAGCAGGTAGGCAAGCAGGGAGGGAGGCAGGGAGGCAGGCAGGCAGGGAGGCAGGGAGGCAGGGAGGCAGGCAGGCAGGGAGGCAGGCAGGCAGGTAGGCAGGCAGGCAGGCACGCGTCGCTGTAACTCCAAGGTCATTCGTCATGCATAGTTTAGGACCACCCGAAAGCAAAGTCTTAGAGTTTCTGAAGCAAAGTTTAGGGTACGTACGTGTGAACTGGGCATTTGTCTTAAGGAAAGTCTAGGATTCTATTAACGTTTTAGGGATATCTCTCTCTCTCTCTCCTAAAGGGTGGTAACCAGGAACTTAACCGTCTCTTCATTAAGTTCATTTGCATAATTTATTTTTGGATGTCAAACTTCCAGTGGTAATTTGTGAAAGAAACACCCCTGAAAATCTCCTCCTCCTCCTCGCCCTCATTCCTTCCTCATTTATTCCTTCCTTCCTTCCATCCT